ATTTGTCTTTACAGCTTATGCCTCATATTTTTACACACTGTATTCCACCAAGTTGCAATTATATGATACTGGTAGCGACTTCAGGAGACACAGGGAGTGCCGTCTTAAATGGTTTTAGCCATCTTAGTAAAAATGACAAGCAAAGAATAGCTGTGGCCACATTTTTCCCTGAAAATGGAGTAAGTGATTTTCAAAAAGCACAGATAATTGGCAGTCAGGAAGAAAATGGATGGGCAGTAGGTGTCAAGTCAGATTTTGATTTTTGCCAGACAGCTATAAAAAGAATTTTTAAAGATTCTGATTTCACTGGCTTTCTTACTGTGGAATATGGAACAATCTTAAGTTCAGCTAATTCCATAAACTGGGGCCGGCTGCTTCCCCAAGTAGTTTATCATGCTTCTGCATATCTTGATCTTGTTAGCCAAGGATTTATTTCTTTTGGAAGCCCAGTGGATGTCTGTATTCCCACAGGAAACTTTGGTAACATTTTAGCAGCGGTGTACGCCAAAATGATGGGAATCCCTATTCGGAAATTTATTTGTGCCTCTAATCAGAACCATGTTTTGACTGATTTTATAAAAACAGGACATTATGATCTAAGGGAAAGAAAATTAGCACAGACCTTTTCACCAGCAATAGATATTCTCAAATCTTCAAACCTGGAACGACATTTACACTTGCTAGCTAATAAAGATGGACAGTTAATGACAAAATTATTTAACCAATTAGAAGAGCAGCATCACTTCCAGATAGAAAAGATTCTAGTTGAGAAACTTCAGCAGGATTTTGTAGCCGACTGGTGCTCTGAGGAAGAGTGCCTTGCAGCTATTCACTCCACCTACAATACTTCAGGGTATATTTTGGATCCACACACTGCTGTTGCAAAAGTGGTTGCAGACAGAATGCAAGACAAAACTTGCCCAGTGATTGTCTCATCTACAGCTCATTACTCAAAGTTTGCACCTGCTATCATGCAGGCTTTAAAGATTAAAGAAATCAACCAAACTTCATCAAGTCAGCTTTATTTATTGAGTTCATACAATGCATTACCTCCACTACACAAGGCTTTATTAGAGAAAACAAAACAAGAGAAGATGGAGTACCAGGTCTGTGCAGCTGATGTGAATGTCCTGAAGAGTCACGTGGAAAAACTAATACAAAATCAATTCATATAAAAGTTTTCTGAGTAAAATATTTCTTTTCTGGTAATAAGCATGCAATAATAAATCACAAACATTGATTTGGAGTACAATAGCATTTTTTAATGTAAATATATATGTCTATGCAGGTTATTATCTTTTGGAATTTCAAAAGCCTAATCTCTAGGACTGAACATTGAACATGCTCCTTGGACCCTTAATCCAGAAGTGACAAAAAGGTAGCATAGTGCATGGACCCTTGTGCTATTGTGCTGTGCTTTGTACTCATGAGGAATATATCAGTTTCCACTTCCTCACCCCCATTTTAAGTGGACCCAAATGTCTGGTATTCAATTTGGCAATTAAATATTTAAGTACAGTTAAGTACTACATGTGTAACCGTTACTAGCTGTCTCCTGATGAGAAAGATCATTTACCACTCCAATGGCTAACTTGTATGGAGGAAGTAGTAAGCTCATCTTTTAAGACAGACCAGTGTTTTCAACTCTACTTAAACTCCATTTTGGCTACAATTATGTGTATCCTACACCATCCAAATTGGATAAATGCTCTATCCTTCTCTCTCTTATGGATGTTTATAGCTGGACTGATATAGTTTGAACATAAGACACACGATTTAAATCCAGGATGTAATAATCAATAGAACTATGTAGTAGTGGATTCTGAAATATAAAATTATTTCAAGAGAAGTTTTCTAAAATTCAGATTATTTGAATAGTCTTAATAGAAGTATGTTTATAGTTATAGGTAGCAGTTGTCCTGTATTATTTGGAGTCCATTCCTCTATAATCTGTCCATTGTCTCTCTCCAATGAACAGTCTTTTTTAACAAATAAAACCACACATGATTGATGCACATATTTATTTTTTCTTTGTAGTAACAATACATTTTAAACATACATTTATGAATTTACTGGATGTTTTATTTCTGAATTAAAGATTGTCACTAAAAGGATATGTTAGTGTAATGGACTACTCTCAACCACAAGATGGCATTCCTAACATAATTTGTCTTTGCTGAGAACATTCTATTTTATTTTCTGGGATAACTACCTCCAGGAGAAAACATTTAAAATTATAAAGAAAAATTTAATAGTTTAATGAGCAGGAATGATTTGTTTAAAATTTTAAACTAATTATGTGTTCACATTGGCTCTCTCACTTAGCTTCTAAAATATAAGTTTTAGATGGCCATGTGGAGAGGCAACAAGAGGGCAGCCATCTGCCAACCAAGGAGAGAAGCCTCAGAAGAACCTATCCTGGCTATGAGAAAATAAATTTCTGTTATTTAGAAAAATAGATATAAAGTAAGTTCTAAAGTCAAAAATTGAAAAACAGGAGCAGTTATAATAAAACAATGGAGGATTCAAAATTCACTTATTCATGTATGTCTTATTTGCTTTTAAGGATATTTGTGTCAGTAGATGACATATTTAGAAATGTTCACTGTGTGTATGAGAATACACTTTCTGAAAGAGGGAGAAACTTAAAAAAAAAGACAATTTCTGCTCTCAAGAACTGTAGTTAAGGAGACAATACATAAAACTTAAATCATGTACAACACAAAAGAGCTATTGCAAGACAGTCCATGAGTGAAAAAGGACTGATACAGTCAAGTATTGCAAGACTTAAAAGGAAAAGATTACCGTGGAATAGTCAGGAAAGATTTCAGAGGACTTAGAACCTGAGGTGAGTTTTGAAGGATGGGAAGATTTTTCTAGCTGAAAAAGAAGGGGAAATACATTCTAGGTAGAGAAAAGGGAAATAGGGAAGTTGAAATGTCCAGGAGAACACCTGCATTTGTCTATGGCCAACTTGTTCTCTCACAGTCCAAAACTGTTATCGTGTGCTTCCACTTTTTCTCAAAACCAACCCCAGTCCTTCCCTCTCAGCTAATAACCTCGCCTCACTCAAGAGGAACAGCTATCAGATGTGACATACATTGACTCCCATCACAAAATGTATAAATCTGCTGTACCCATTTCTGTGCTTTCCTATTTCCCTTTGATTAAATTAGGTAGCATTTCTCCTCATTTCAAAGGCTAACCTCCTCAGGTTACCTTGAACTCTGTCCTTCAGAGTACTCAAGTAACTTGTTTCATCCCCTCTCCTGTTTCAGCTTTCCTCTAATGGAGCCTTTGTGTGCCCTTCAGATGTTCTCTCTTCATATCTTAAAAAGCAGAAAAGCAAAGCAAACTCTAAATATCCACAATTCCCCCCCATCTACTCTTTTATTTCTTTATGCTTCAATCAAGATCAAGCCTCTTTAAAAAGTGTTGTCTACATATATGGCCTCCATTTTCTCCAGTGTGTCAAATACATGTACAGTTTATGGATGAATAGTAAATACCCATGTATTCATCACCTCTCTTTAAGAGTAGAACATTACTCATACCTTTGATACCCACTGTGACTCCTTGGATTACATTCACTCTCTTCCCCAGAGGTACCACTATCCTAAGTTTTCTGTTTGTCATTCTCTTGTTTGTATTTATAGTTTTGCACTTCTTAATTTTGCCACTTTTTGAATATTATGTAAATGCAATCATACTGTATGTATACTTCCATCACCTTCTTTTGCCAAAAAACTTTAAAATTCATCCATGCAGATGAGTGAAGCCACAGTTCATTAATTAATTTTTATTACTATATAATATTCTATTGTGGGAACACCACAATCTATCCATTTACCAGTTAGTGGACATTTAGATTGCCCAGTTTTTATCTGTTTTCGTATTCAAAAGGTATACTGTTTTTTGAAGGCTATTGAATATAGACTTCAAAATATTTGTGACTAATGACATGTAAAAATAGATTTCATCCCTTGGCATTATTAAAATAAATATTTATATTTTATGAGATGAAAAATTGGTATTGATTTTCAGCCTATGGCTATAATTTCTCGTTTTCACTATCTTTGACATTATTTTATAATGTCAAATATAGTGAATTTGTAAGATTTCTGAGAAGAAATGGAATTTTTAAATTACTTGTTAATGGAAATTGTAAAATATGTTTCCATCAAAATAGAGTTTAGAAGGTGATAAATTGTTTTGTATGAGGTTTTCATTAACTTTAATAGCAATTCACTTATGGCAAATACTGTTTCAATCTATTAAATAACATAAACATTTTATAATTAAGACTAAAGCTAATAAATTTTTATTTATTTATTTATTTATTTTTAAGATTTTTATTGGGGAATTGGGGGGATGGGAACAGCGTTGAGGAATAGGGGAAGGGGAACAGACAAGTTGCTGTCGTTTTGTTCTTCAGTCTAGTTGTGGAGGACGTTGCTTCACTGGCCCAAGTTGGCACCATCATTGCACTNTCTCTCTCCGTTTTTGAAAATTGTTTTTCTAGGAAGCTGTTTTATTCCGTTCTCAACCCACTTGGTCTTTCATAAGCTTGTTTATACACGTTATGACTGCTGAGAGACACTCCTTTAAAAGCTTTTGCCATCCCGAGTCTCTAAGAGACATTGTGGCAAGATGATTTGGGAAGGAAGGTAGATGGTTCTGAACCAACTGCACAGTGGCCACTCTGCCCAATGGGAATGACGATGCTTGACGATGGGAGAGGACACCAGATGCTTGAAGATGGCAGCCCGGGTGCTCCTGTGGAGGGATTAAAACGGCATGGTGGCTTGGTTAACTTTTTAGTTCTGAGAAGGCTGTGCGGAATGTGTATGTCCTTATCATTTGGGGCTCTTAGTGAATTTCATTAGATAAGTATAAATCAATTTTTTTCTTATCCAGTTGATGTGGTTTTAATTTTTTTATACCAGACGTTTAGCAAATAGTTTATTTCAGATCAGTGACACCTTTGGGGATGATTCTCCTTCACATCAGATTTTCTATTCAGAACACAATTTTGCCCTTTTTTGTTTCCCCTTNGTTTTTGTCTCAACCAGGAATATGAATAAAATCTAGTATGAAACATTTATATGGGCCCTATCTGTGTACTCTAGCCACTAAAACCAGTTTTATCTCTTTGAAACTTTAAAAACAAATAGGTTCCTTCAAAGTCAAAGTTAGAATAAGCTCCTCTGATTAAAAAAAATAAAGCCAAGCAAGTATCTTAGAACAGTATGTTAGAATAGTCACAAAGCATTTCAGAGGACATAGAACCTGAGGTGAGTCAAAGACAATAAATCAAATTGTATAGCAATCAAGTTGTATAATGTATAGCAATACTCGGATCAATTGGCAATATTTTGACCAGAGCCCTAAATTCAAAAGTTGACCTATACAAGAATGCAATTAATCGTTAGTTATTTTTCTTTTAAAACTGTTTCTTTCTGATTTCTTATTACTTTTTTCATCCTACTGGTAATAACTATCTTGAAAAGTCACTGCACTGAAATTACATGTGCAGATGTGGCATTACTTTTTAGGTGATCCTCATAGACTTTATTGAGATTTTAGTGGTCCATAAAATGCTAATGGCAAGTTACATTTCATTTATAAATATCAGGGGACTTTATAATTCTAAATGAATTCACAACAGATTGTTTTAAATTTTCATATTTGGTGAATGAGTTCTAAAATTAATACCATCTAACAATGAAAAACAAATGATTTATTACTGTTCCTATGAGTTTGATTACTCTAGAAACCTCATATAAATGGAATCATACAGTATTTGTCTTTTTGTGAATGGCTTATTTTACTTAGCATATTGTCCTCAAGTTTCCTTCCATGTCATAACACACTTTGTTTATCCATTCATTCATTGATGGTCATTTGGGTTGCCGCCACATTTTGGCTATTGTAGATAATGTTGCTATAAATTTGGGTGTACAAATATTTCCTCAAGGTCCTGCTTTCAATTCTTTTGAATATGCACCCAAAAGTGGAGTTGCTGGATCTTATCATAATTCTGTTTTCAACTTCTTGAGAACCCACCATACTGGTTTCCATAGCAGCTGCACCATTTTGTGTTCCCACCAGTGAAAATTTGAATATTTTTAACTTGTGTTTTAAAAAACAAAATTATAGATATGCCTAGTTTGAAAAGTCAAGTTTTAAAAAGCTAAAATGAATCAGTAGAATCCTATATGTACATCTTTCTATACTCACTCCCCAGAGGTAACCACTTTCAAATCAGCTATTTACTCTGGCACTTTTCCTCCTTATTTCATGAGAACATACTTAACTGCTACTCTGAAGTTTAGCTTTATACATTATCTGTTTACATTCTTATATGAAAGATAACTAGTTCTACTGCCTCTGTTCTGCCCCACTACCCACTCATTTCCTTACATTCTATCATCCCAATACAGATATGTTATCATTTTGGATTAGACCAATATTAGTGTTTGCATTATTATGACTAAATATTATCCATGGCTTAGTTATATTGTATACTATAAGTTTTTTTATTTTTGGAATTCATAATTGTGTTTATTCCATTTGCTTACCTTTATACATATGTAACAAATTCATCTCCAAACTTTCTACCAGTTGCACAGATTTCAATTAAAATTAAATTCATTAGATAATGGGAGGCTTCCAGTCAAGATGCTGGAGTAGACAAACACTGTGCTGTCCTCTCATGACCACATCAAAATTACAACTAAACTGCAGAACAACTTCATTAAGAACTGCCTGAAGTCTAGTTGAACAGAAGACCTATAACTAAGTATAGTTATGAAGAAGCCACATTGAGAATTGTAGGAGGGGCAGAGATGTGAAATGGGTTCGTCCCACACCCACATGTGACTGTTAAAAGTTGGGAGGTTTATCTTGGCTGTGGAGGTCCTGCCATGAGGAGTGAGGCATCCCAGCCCCACACCAGGTTTCCCAGCCTTGGATTCCAGTACCAGGAAGAGAAATTCCCACAACTTCTGG